AACTCATAGAGGCCTACCTGACTCTGCCTCCTAGGTGATGGGATTAAAGGCATGTACCACCTGGCAAGCCAAATCTTTAAATTCTATGTGTATCAAAGAATGGTGTCTGGTCCAGATGTATCTACTGATCCACTGGCATTATGTTACTAGGCAAGTTCACGAACTTCTCAAGCTGAGTTTCCCACTCCAGGTAGAAAAAAAAAAAAAAAAAAAAGTCTATGCATTTTAAGTACCTTAGTGCAGATTACGACACATAGTAGGTGCATAATTAGAAGTCATTATTTCATTATGCAAGGGGATTTCAGGCCATTACACGTCTAAGGAATAACTTCAATATGTGCAATTACAATTCAATGTATATAGTTATAATTTAATTAAAAGTTGAATTGGATATCATACAGTATGTTGAAATCTGGAAGACTGTAACTGACAGGATTGTTGTGGTTACTGGCTATTATAAAAACACATGAAAATAAACATGAATATGTGAAAGACAAGCAACATAAAATACACGCCTTTAGTCCCAGCTCTCAGGAGTCAGAGACAGGCAGATCTCCCTGAGTTCGAAGCCAGCCTGGTCTCCACAGTGAATTCCAGGCCAGCTGGGGCTGCAGGGGAACCCTGTCTCAAAAAGACAAAAAAAAATTTATATGTTAGCTTGAGATAATTTAAAATGTATTTAAATTAGCATGTTTCTGTTGTTATATTATTAAAGGACACAACCTTCTTTCTGAAATGATGTTGATACCAATAATGATGCTGATATCAATTTCTATTTGATTAATGACCATGTTTGATTTGGCACTCAGCAGAATATATAAAAGTACAGTGTAATATTTGTAATGGAACAGAGTATCTCTCAGGTGCTGGAGTTCCATATGTCACCAGAAGACCCGTTACTGGGGGTGGGTAGAGCAACATTCAGGTCTCCCGGGCGGGTCAGAAGCAGTGTGAGGTGAGCGGGGCCCTGGGCCTCCCCAGCTCTCCCAGCTGCTTCGTGAGGCTCGGCATTCAGAGAGGAGCCGAGAAACTCTTGTGATGCACTGACTTGGAAGAAGGGACAAAGTGCCTGTTCTGGTGCATTGCATTTCAAGTTCATCTAAGGGCTCAGTCACCAGCAAAAGAAAATACTGCACCGCCAGTCAGTTAGGAGGGGCACAAGAGCCCTAGGGGCCACAGAAGGCGTGGCAGAGTCAGAGGCATATTAATTCCAGGAGCTGGCCTGATTTTTGAGGAGAAGCCCAGGGGGCTGGGGGTTTGGCTCAGGTTTACACATGAGGTCCAGGCCTTCACTCTCCATCAATCTGTCCCTCAAGTATGCCCAAGTCTGCACGCCTCGGCACCTTCAACAGCAGTAACTGCATGTGCAGCTGTCCCAGCTCTCATGAGGGTCCTGAAAGACCCGAAATGAACCTATGCACTGAGATCTGATGAAGTCTTGGTGGCTTCCTCAAAGACAAGAGACAAATTTCACCAGCAACACTGAGCAAATCTTTATCATTTTCTACGTTTAAAAATGGTGGAACAAGGAAAGAGTCTTGACGCTTTCACACAATGACACTGAATGAGAAACATGGACTCTTTTCTATAAGCTACTGTCGTCATCAGGAAATCCCAGGAAACTTTCCATGCACATGTCCCTTCCCAAGTGCATATCATTTTGTTTGCAGACTATGGTTTTGAAAGAGCTGGGTCTAGTGAAACACCTGCCACCATGGTTAAGAAAGAGTGGAGATCACAGAGGACAAAAACACGCCAGCTCTGCCGGAACATCACTGCTTACGCCCAGTGCTCTGTGCGGCTGCGTGAACCATCACCAGTTCTCACAGAGGGCAGCAGACTCAGAGACCACCTCACTTGTCATCCGGCTACATACTGGCAAGAGATGATCACTGTGTGGCTCTAGAATCAGGAAATTAGATATACCTATTGGTGCTCTCTTGATAAAAGGTTTCAATCAAAAACCCCACACAATTTGAGCTCAAGGTTTATAAACTGTGCTAGAATACAAAGACCAAATGAGTTGCTTTAGCTAAATAACTATGACATAAAATACATTTCTTAGGAATTTAATTAATAGAGGACACATTTTCCAAACAATCCACATCCCTCACCTACCCTGTTCCTTCTCTGGTAGAAGGGCAATCCTGCTCAAGGATAGACAGGAGCTGCGTGGACGGAAAATTGAATTGTTCCTTCAGCCACAAAAAGCCCACCCCCTGGAGGTAGACCCCTGGTAGGTCAAATATAACAGAGGAAAAAAACACAACAAGAACATAACAAAATTAGTTCAATGCCTGAAAGAGGACTAGTCTCTTCAGAAGCATGCATGGTCTGCTTCTTGATTTCAAAGCTAAGGCTCCACTGTGCTCCATAACCACAATTCTCTAGTGTAACAGTGAACAAACACATCCTAAGTTTGGAAAGCCTTCAATATTTGCATTTGCAATCACAAGTATCACGCACACTGGAAAGGTCATCAGAGTCAGGCTATCCTCTTCCCTTCATATAAGTTTTCCCTCATAAATCTATTTGTCAGTGAAATTACTGACATCAGTTCACAGCAAGGGAACAAATTATGCATACTGCTTTCTGAATTCTTTGGAGGGCAGTGTTTAGAATGTACGGTGCAAGATCAACTCAGGTCACCCCTTCCATGGTTTCCTACAGGAAACTGTATATGCAAAGGCAGACCTCACACTGAGCCTGACAAGAGGAAAAGTTGAAGTAGTTCAACAATGACTCAAAGTTTTCCATTAGAACATACAAGTCTTCAGAGATGAGCTATTTATATTTATTAACTAATGTTAAATTTCAGCACCTGAAAATTATGTCTGTCTGATAATTCATCTATATATCTAATTATTTAGATCTACATCATCTATTTAGCTATATAGCTATCATTTATTATGCACCTATCAATCTATCATCTATCATCTATCTTCATTCCATCTCTATATCTAATTATTCATATCTATCCTGTCTATTTATCTACCTACCTATCAATCATCAATCTATCATCTGTCCATCCATCCATCCATCCATCTGCCTACTTACTTACCTACATTGTACTAAGATTTTTCGTGGTCTTATGTAAGCTCAGTATCACAAAACAGATTCGATAAGCAATAGTCTCATATCTTTACCAAAGAAAAGGGGAAGGAATTTACTTGCAGATACTAAAAAGGAAAACCTCTTTGTTTCTTTCATAAGATCTGATACAGAGCCTCATAACTTTCTTCCTGTCTCTGAAGTTCTGCTGTCTATCTAGGATGTGTGAGTTTTACATTTCATAAAACAAGCTTCCCAGCAGCATAAAAGATGTCGCTTAGCCTCAGGATCCAAGGGGTGGAACTATCAAAAGAATGGCTGTAAAGGCCACCGAGAAGGGATGCCAAGCCCACGCTTGCATGCTAAACTTCTTCCAGCACTCAACACCACATCTCCTTTAGCCCTCGACCAGCATGGGGAAGGGGAGTGAGGTGAGGCTCCAGCCAGACTGAGTGCTCCAGCCATCCTTAGAGAAGAAGCTGGACGCACAACAATAGGCCTTTTGAAAAGAGCCTGCACAAGTAGATTTTATTTGACAGTTTAAAGTGCTAAAAGAAATATGACCTGCTAAGGCGGAAGCAAAACAAATCCGTAACTTGTCTTTTACTCCCTCTGATGTGGCGCCACTCAATATGACCGTGGTGCCAGTTTCCTTGACACCACTGAGTGTCAGGTCTGTGCTGCAGTCTGCCTGCCTTTGGGATCCCAGCATGGGATTATTATTCCATTTCCCAGACCAAATAGAGTGACCACAGTTAACGAGGCAGAAGATTCTGTCACAACTCAAAACTGGAAAATTCTTCAGAGTTTATTCCATATGTGAATACTTAATTCGGGTACTTTGAATTTCTACCATGCCCTCCAAATTCTCATTAACCAGAGAAACTTTCGTGATTCATGCCATTTAAAGAGTGTAGAGAAACTTGAGAGCCTAAACAAACAAACAAACAAAAACCTTTGCATTTACAGAACATATAATGTTTGCAAATTGTACAGTGTCTGCTGAGAATTGAAGTTTACAGAAGAGCTGGTGTGTGAGAGCACCTAGACTCTAAAGTGTATTCAGTGTCTGGCCATGTCATGTCATGTCCATAGAGCACATGGCACCCACAGAACATAAAGAGCTTGTGGAACATCTACTGTGTACAAAGCACCTTGTGTTTTCAGAATCAACGTGTGCAGAGCACCTGGTGTGTGCAGAACATCTAGCGCTTGCAGTCAGTCAGGAAGCACATCGAGTAGCTAGAGTTCTTGGAGCATCTTGCATTTGAGAAACACTCAGGAGGTGCTGGGTCTGGGTACCCAGTTCTGGATTCTGGGCAGGAACTGAGGAAGAGACTACTTACCACGTTGCATCCTGCACAGTCAGGCCCATTCTCACAAGTCCTGCGGCGAGCTTGAATGCCTCCCCCGCACTGGGCTGTGCACCGTTCCCAGGGCCCCCAGCCTGTCCAGAACACATGTGGTGGGCAGAGCAAATGTTCGTTGCAGTATCTGTAATAAGGAAACCAAGAGGAAATGGAAGCCATTGAGTGACACGGGAGGCCACCAACCTTTCCGCCTTCCATCCCTGTGCCAGATGTGGAACAGATGGGCATGCTCTGCGTGAGGGACTTTCTGTTTCTGGAGTGGTTGCACCATACAGGAGGCAGATGTGGTGCTGGCCATGCTGCGTGTGCACAGACAATGGGATGCACGGCAGACGATGAAGAGAATGCTCAACTCACAATGCAGGATGGAGTTTCCTGTGCAGCCATTAAAGGAGAAACAAGACAGAAGAAACCCTTCAAATAGACACCCCAATAGGAGCATGCAGAAAATACCTCGGCAGGACATTTATCTTCTAGGTATAAACATCGAAAGATAAAGTAGGCTATGAATACAAAGTTAGCATAGATTTATTCGGAATTTCTCATTCTTCAATCAAGTAGGACCCACAATATTCTTGAGATAAATTAAAGAATTAAATCATGAGTTTGGCAGGAAGGCCCATGACATTCACTGCTTAGTTTATGATGTTTCTAGGTTCTCAGAACATTGTCAAGTGATTTAATATGAAAGACCACCAGATATGAAAAATTCAAATTACCATGTACTTTACAAATATCAGAACTATTTTGCAGTGGTTAGTTTCCACACTTCTACACACATACTTCCATTTTGCCAAGTTTTAAGTTAAATACACCCAAACTTCTTTAGCCACAGGAGGGCTTGTGCTGTTCTGTAATCTTTAATCTGTGTGTGAAATGGAGTGAGGTGAGGAAGACAAACACAGAGAAGCAGACTGCCAGGCTACAGGCTGCAGCACATACAGGGGAAGAGTTTAACTAGGAATACAGTCAAATTTCACGACACGCTTGGTCATTTACAGGACTGCTTAAATTCGTTTGTCCACACACTGAATGCACACCTAGCTTCTAGGGAATACCAGGATGCAAGACTTTTTCCTCTCACATCTTTCTTCCTTAAAATGCCATCTGCCTTAAGAAATAGGAGGCAGAGTTTCACACCTGTTGGACTAAGTCAGTGACCTTCATGACACTGTTGCTAATAACTGGATCCTGCAGAGCACCATGCAAAGGGTGTCACAGAGGGATGCTTGACCACAGCCGTTCACAGCCACACATGAACACAGGAAATGGACACAAACTCAAAAGGTGCAGTGAATGAGAAATCAGTTGTAATTCATGGTGACACTTGTGCCAGGGACTGTGCACCAGACTGCATTTGATACACATTTCTAGAGGAGAAAAGGGGTAAATGGTAACCAGCAATCTTGAAAGGAATTTAGAAAGTGTAATTTCCTGACAGATAATCCTGGAAACCTTCAATTGTTTCTCCATCAAACCAGAAAACTTTGATGGAGGACATGAGCACTTTGGGAATGTGCACCGATGAAAAGAGGAAAAGCCCAGTGGACAGGAGATGGGGGGGCAGGCAATGGGGAGGGGTGGAAGGAGATGGGGGGTAGACAGGGGATGGTAGAGTGGACAGGAGATGGGGTGGACACAAGATGGGGTGGACAGGAGATGGGGGGTGGACAGAAGATGGGGAGGGGTGGAAGAAGATGGGGGTGGACAGGAGATGGGGTGGACAGGCAATGGGGAGGGGTGGACAGAAGATGGGGGTGGACAGGAGATGGGGGTGGACAGAAGATGGGGAGAGGTGGAAGGAGATGGGGTGGACAGGAGATGGGGGTGGACAGAAGATGGAGGGGTGGACAGGAGATGGGGGTGGACAGGCAATGAGGAGGGGTGGACAGAAGATGGGGGGGGACAGGAGATGGGGGGAGACAGGGGGTGGGGGCGGACAGGAGATGGGGGGAGACAGGGGGTGGGGGCGGACAGGAGATGGGGGGAGACAGGGGGTGGGGGCGGACAGGAGATGGGGGGAGACAGGGGGTGGGGGCGGACAGGAGATGGGGGGAGACAGGGGGTGGGGGCGGACAGGAGATGGGGGGAGACAGGGGGTGGGGGCGGACAGGAGATGGGGGGAGACAGGGGGTGGGGGCGGACAGGAGATGGGGGTAGACAGGGGATGGGGGTGGACAGGAGATGGGGGGTGGATAGGAGATGGGGGTGGAGAGGAGATGGGGTGGCTACCCTGGCACCTGCTGGTGTGTCTGAAGATAATTAAAGGTAGAAATGGAGAGTGAAGCAAGAAAGGCAGTGGTGGTGAGGACACAGGGATGAAAAAAGTGAGAGGAGATGGAATGGTTCGCCTTTGCCAAATACAAGAGACCCACAGGCAAAACAGCAGCACTGGGGTAAGGCCGAAGACTCATCTCATCTCCCAAGGTGGCTGCCTCATCCTACTGGTGGCTGAAGCCCTGGGTCTTCAGAAACTCCTGGAGTTTCAGTGTGGGGTCTGACCCTCAGGAAAGACCACAAGCAGCAAGAGCAGACAGAACAAAACCAACCAGTGGAATCCAGACTGCAGCAATGCTAAAGGCAAATGTTGTAGGCGAGACGAACAGGACAGTGGTGGAAAGACCAGAGAGGGAGCGCTGCGGATGGCACTTGGCAGAGCAGGAACACCTCAGAACTGTGTGAATGCGCAGAAAACACGCAGTGGAGTCCAAATGCAGGGACTCAGCTGAAGGCTGGGTCATGGTCACTTCCAGATCAGACAGTGGGCATAGCATGGCTGAAGGAGCCTCTGCCCAGTCAAGTCCCATCCAGGAACACCGTTCAGCATCTGCAACCTTTCACATATCGAGCAGTCAGTGGCCCTGAGGAGTGGTTACACTTCATCTTTTCAGTGTTTCTGATCACAAAGTTGTGCAGTCTTCCTGTGAAAGTGGCAGCGTACAGTCTAGATGCTGGTGACACTCTGATGTGTCTGGGGAAGGAGGTTTTTCTAAATTCAGAGAATGTGGCCTCTAAGTAGAAAAGTGAATCAAGAATAAAGTAAGGATTACCTTCCTCTTAGGATTTTCTTTTATGTAGTCTCTACAGAGAGAGATTTATAATAGATAAATATTAATATATGTGCTGGTGCTTGGAGAGTTCCACAAAAAAACTATTTTTTTTGAAAATATGTTTTAAGGAAGTCAAGAAAACTCACAATTTCAGAGCATTCCACATTTAATTCGAATTATCCATATGTTGATCACAAGGGGTCACACAAGGAAGAGAGAGACGCCCCACCCTTCTAAGCTGATTCATTGACAGGTAGAAGATATGGAGGTATAGGCTCACCTCACTTCTTTCCTCAAATTTCCATTTTCAGTGTGTGTGTGCATGCGTACACACGTGTGTATGTAAGGGGAACCCCGAAGAAAAGGCCTACTAAAATGCCCATAAGACCTTGACTTTTAATAAAAAGCACAGCAGCTGGGTTACCATATCCCCAGAGCAAAATGAATCAGAGTGCACAAATACGTTTCTGTATTTGCCTAGAGCAGGCCACCTCTGAGAGTGTTCAGCTGGCTATGACAGTTAAAAATCTCTCACTGGCTATCCATACATGTAGTGCTGGACTCTGAATCAGTATTAATCAGTTACCTCTTGGGATGTATTTATGGCCTTCAATGGCCGGCCTTTCCTTTTATTTCTTCCTTGTTCCACAGCCATTCTGTGTAACAAGTCACATCATAGGCAGTTGCCTGGAAGTTTCTACCCATGAAAACGAATGGTAGGAGGGAAACAGAAATTGCTAGGTGATCTCCTTCCACATGCAGGGATACAACCTGGAGAGGGCACTCAGAGGCTGGAAACTTCTAAGTCCCTCAGTCTGGATTCTCTGCAATGGTGCCATTTCCTTCTGAGCCCATTTGCCTACTCCATGTTCCCACAGACAACAACCTTATTGAGCCGCACAGGCAGCAGTGAGACAGGGAAGCAGTTGCCCTGACATCTTAGTTTGCTTAAGTTGTTACTAATTATGGATAAACATTTTCCCAATGGGCCAGCACTTGGTTGCCACTTTACCAGTCCCCTATATATGGCTAGCTGCTACCAAACAACAAGGTGAACGTCTTTAAAATGTTATCGAGTCTGCTGGGTCTCCAGTATTTTAAAGCATGGAGAACCACAGATGTGCTTCATGATGTGGTAAAAATCAAGATTTTAATTTCTCTCATGACTGCTCACTCTTCTTTTGCATTTCAAAACTAACCAATGACCAAGCAGCATCTTTTCATAAATTATCCATTTTCCCACAAACCTACTTCCCCTTTTAGGCCCATTCCCAACCCTGTCAGAGTTCTCTTACTTCCTTCGATTCTGGTTGGGTCTGTGCTACCTCTTCATGACAGCTTCTGCTAGCCTGGTCCAACTGAGGCCTTTTGAAAACTATGTTCTCCTTGGTTCGCTCTTACTGGCCATCCTCCCACAGGGTCATACTGGAACAATTAAGTCTTTATGGCACCAGAGCAACTGTGCGTCCATTAGGTACAGCATAAGGTTTAGGACAGCATGATAGTGGAGGTTAATAACTTCCACAGGGTGTCATTTTGGCACCTGTGGGGAGATTGGAATGGAGGGTGTGTGGGGCCGCAGGCGTGAACTGCAGCCACACGATGGGACACTTAAGACTGAGCACAGTGCGAAAGCTGATGGAGACTAAGGGCAAGCTTGAATGACACATGGGTTATGGGAAGTTGGTTCATGTAAGTCCCTCCCCCACCCCCAAATGTCTTTTTATTATGTTTATGATTGCTCTTTTAAGTTCTGGGTCCTGGGTAGAACTTGTTGTAGTTCTGGGTAGTTCTCATTGTAGAGCACTCCCGTAGCCTGAATACTACTCAATTCCTCTAAAAAGAGAAAGCCAGCCAGGGGCAAGATGAGGAGCACCCTGGGAAAAAGGATGGAGCTGCCTGGGTGATGGAGAGTTTATTGCAGAAAGTTACCATAGCCATTTTGGGAACTCAGGGAGCAAGCAAGGTGTGCAGCCAAAAGGTGGGGCGAGAATGGCCAGGTGGATCCTCTGCCCATCTTCACAGGGTGAGATGGCACAGCACATGAAAGCTGATGGAGACTAGAGGCAGGCTTGAATGGCACATGGGTTATGGGAAGCAGGTTCATGTAAGTCACCCCCACCCCCAAATGTCATAAAATGGTACAAAACCCAAACTAAAAATGTCTTATGTTAGTCTGTGAGCACTGGGGCCTCAGAAGGCCCACAGGAGCCTCCCAAGAAGGGAAAAGGGAAGAAAATTTAGCGCACCACTTCTTTACTGCACCCAAGGATGCAGAAGAGTGGTGCCCAGGCTAGGAACCCACAGAAACACAAGGTGCTTAAAGTAGCAAAGTGTGCAGTTACAACATGTGATGAGGGACTGAAAGAGATCTGGGGACCACACACGATGCTAATTAAGAAATACCCAGAAAACAGTGAAAACGGCTTTGAGACCAGGAGTGGGTAGAGGCCAGATGTTGAAGAACAGGCACAGACAAAATTCTAAATCCCTTTATACAGAGTCATAGTAAAATTTTAGACTTTGTGGAAACTGAGCATGAGGATTCAGAAGGAAATAGGAAAAAAGAGCCGAAACTGAACAACAAAAAAGGCAGCGCACTTAGAAAGCAGAGAAACAACGCGGACAGACATTTCTTCCAGGAAGACAGACAGTCAGCTCACGAGATGCTCAGTGCTGTTTAGACCTTAGCAAAATCCAAATCCAAACCACAGCGGGAACCCACTTCTCCATATCCCTTAGGACGGCTACAGAGGTAACAAGCTTGGCGGGAGTGTGGCGAAACTGGACCGCCTGTACATTCTGGTGGGAACAGACAACAGCAAGGCCACAGTAACAGCAACTTGGCATTCCTACAAAGCCGAGCACGGACCCAGCACTTCCACTCCTGTAGTTAAACAAAATAACTGACATGGGAGCTTCAAGCTAATGTTCATTTTAGCAGGACTTCTAATAGGAAAGAGGAAAAGTGACCCATGTCCACTGATGGGTGAATGAACAAACAAAATGCTACCATCGCTACACAGCAGAATACTACCAAGCATTCAGGAAGGAAGTTCTGAAGCTATAACACTGCCGGACCTTAAAAACATTATGTTGAGTGAAAGAAGACACAAAGACAGCTATTACAGAATGCCAATTATATGGAAACACAGGATATATAAATAATAGACCTATAAAAAGATTTACATACAACCACTGGATGGGTTGAGTAGACTCCAGTGTATGCATTTACTGAAAGACATTTGGGTACAAACACCTGAATGAATAGGACCAGCATGTACGGCAGAGAGCATAGGGTTAGGTGGGGGACTGGAGGAAGGTATGGATGGGGGAGGGGGTCTGGATTTGAGTGGGAAATGCCTGAAATTTAAAAAAGCTCAATAAAATTTTTTTTTTAAATCAGGTTACCAGGGATCAGGAGATTGGTAGAATGGGATGTTATTAGTTAGTGGTAATGAGAAAGATATTTGGAAATGGGTAGTGGCCATGTTTGCACAATTGAAATTAATGCCAATGAATTCTGCACTTAAAATGGATAGCTGGTTAATTTACATTGTTTATATTTTACTGTAATTTTAAAAAGTGAAAAGGAGCCAGGAGTGACGGCACACATCTTTAATTCCAGGACTTGGGAGGCAGAGGTAGGCAGATCTCTGTGAGATCAAGGCAGACTGTCTACAGAGTGAATTCCAGGCCAGCTGGGGCTAGAGGGAGACCCTGTCTCAAAAGAAAAGTACCCCCAAAACTGAAAAAATAAGTGGAACAGTATTGTAAATAAAGAGCAAAGAGAACTTGGTTTAGAAAAGGCTTCCAAAATTGTCACCTTACAGTGATAGGAGAAATAGCAATGACTGCTCAAAAGAGGTAATGCTGATGAGGAAATTTCAAAGCAAAGGGTGGAAGGGCTACCCAATTTCTTGCTGCTCACAGAGCAGTAACAGTTCAGTATATAAGGAAGAAAAAAAAAAAGGAATGAGCTACTAAAAAGAACGAGGGCCAGCTGATGTTTAGAATTAGACTTTACTGATGGCAAAAGATCTAAGATCAAGAAATAGATTCCAAGCACCGTGAGGGAGGTCAGCATAACGAAAAGCTGAGGACATGGCTGTACAAGTTCTTGCCAAAGCCTCCAATCAAAGAATGAGAGTAGACTGAGCACAGGTTCCTCAAATGCAAGAGTGTGAGCCAGGGCCCCTGTCGGTCACCGAGACGACATCAACAAGCTGGAAGATGTTGCCTCCCAGCCACCTTAGCAGGGATGTAAAGCCTTGAAGAACTGTCTTCAAAAGATCTGGGAGTGTGGCTTTGGTTTAGTGGCACAAACCCCAAGAGGTCTACATGTGGCTTTTAATGTTTATCCAAAAGCAATTTCAGCAAAAAATATCAACGTCAACTGAAAGAAACAGAGACACACAAGTGAAATTCTAGCTTCAAGAAGGAGGCTGAGTTGTTAAAACTATCCAGTTCAAAACTCTGGTGCCTTTAAGGCAAAGGGAAGACCACTCAGGAGCTGAACAGAGAGCCTGCAAGGCTGATCCAGGGACTGTCAAGCAATGTGCCCATCATAAGCCACTCTCCACACTCACCTGTCTGCATTGCAGGGTTCCCGTGGAGAAGGGAGTGTCTGGTGACTTACATTTCCCCTCTTTTTGAACAGGAATTTATAGCTGACATTTGCAACCCTCCCACCCCCCGCTGTTCGAAGGGGGAAAATTGATGACAGATAACTTGTCTCCTCGTGCATATCTTGGGTGGTAAGATTTTGAGCTTTTTGTAGATAACTTAATGGGATATGACTTTTGGGGACCCTGCTAACAGATGAAACATATTTTGCAGGTGGCAGAACATGAGTAACTGAGGGACCAAGAACTGTCCCTGGTAGACCACAATGGCACCTCTCCCTGACACTCGTCCCTGTGCAATCCTGTCCCCTGCAGTGCCTTCTAACTACGGGGTTGTGGCTAGATGAAGGTGTATCCTCTGAATCAGTAATGAGATCACAGTGTCTGTTTTGTGAACTGGAGCTCTTCTTGGCTGGATCTGAGGAGGCAGGAAGCCATCCTGCAAAGGCTCACTTGTCAAAACCCCGGGCAGTGTCTGACTGACAGCAGGGAGACCTCGGTATGAGGTTCCTTGGTTTGACAAAAGCCATGTAACCTTGGAAGCAGATGCTTCCTACTTGAGACCCCCATGAAACCAGAAGTTTGGTGGCTGCCTCAGGGAGGCCTGCTAGGGCCCAAGACCAGGAGCCAGGGTTACCCAATGACACAGGGGACAGTAACTCTGAGTTGTTTTAGTTGATGGAACCACTGTGGCTGAATGTGCTGCACAACATGACTATAGCGTTTAAAATCTTCCAACCAGTTAAAAATCTTACAAGGCTTGGAAATAGCAAGAAGGTGATTCTTCTATCATCAGCTTTCCCACCTATCAACTTGTGTGAGATGGAACACAACAGATCCCCACAAGACTGTCTCAGGGGACTACATCAAAAATGACAAACCCTGTATACATAATGCTGCCTTTCTTTCCTTCAAGTCAAAAGAATGGAATCTTAATTGGTAAGTAAGAAATTCAATGAATAAAGAAATGGACTTCCTAGTTGCTTTCAAGTTATACTAAATACCTACTTGAAAACGGCATACGTCAAGACTCCTAATTTTGTTTACGTAAGTAAATGATCACATATGGTATTTTATGAGACTCCCTTGAACTCATGACTCTGAGTAGAAGCCTTCATTTTTTCTGTTTATTAAAAGTCATTCAATAACTTGGTGTCAGAAGAGGAGAAAATAGATCCTAGAAAAGCTGTGAAATTCACTCCCAAAGTGACAAACTGCCTAGGCGGTCAACAGTCAAGGAAGACAACCAGAACAAAATGGAGTCAGAACAAAATGGCTAATTCTACAAAAAATCCAAATTGTTAGATCCAAGTCCAAGCTGAAATGTCAAGATGTCATGCTAAATGGTGGAAGTCCTCACAGAAAACGGTCTTTACTGTGGGTTTTGTCATAGCTCACTCGAGGTATTTGTTAACACACTAGTAAATATGGCTGACCCCTGAGTTGCCTCTCGCCGACCTGTACCGCTGTCAGTGGAAACTGTCTTACCTGTCCTGAGCACCTGGACCTGAGCCACCCACACCCTGCTGGGATTTGTAGCTTCTGACACGCGTGGTTGAACTATCCCGACAACAGCCATTTTCAGCAGGCTCCCTTTCTGGTACTCAGGGGCCCAGCACACAGGCGGTGCCCAAGCATCCAGTCCTGGAGAATGCATCCCCTGAGCATCCGGGAAAGGCATCCCCTGAGCCAGCCCAAACATGCAGAGAACCAGGGCGCGCAGGAAGCTCTTCACAGGAGTCTTAGGTCAAAATTAAAGCACGACAGAAACGTACGGGACTGCTCTGCCCAACACAGACGAACGCCACAGATGAGCTCAGCTAGATCCAAAGCGGAAACTGGCCCGTCGGGATGGCAGGAGGCAGGGGGATGACGGCGCCGGGGCACAGGTGCACCTACCTCTCCTCTCGGTTCTGTCCCACGCACACGCGGCCTCCGTGCCTGGGTGTGGGGTTGCTGCAGGAGCGCTGCCGCACCTGGAAGCCGATCCCGCACGTGGTGCTGCAGGGCGACCAGGAGGTCCAGGGGGTCCAGCCTCCGTTCCTGCAGCAGAGGAAGCTATTCAGTCACTCAGAAACACCAGCTCTGACTCTAAGCCCGGCCTACACCTACTGCGAACGTCCATGTCCATGGGGGTGGACATGTGATTGTGGGGCTAAGGGAAGAGGTTGCGGCCGCAAGCTGAACAGACTAGGCAGCAGTAACCTGTTACCACCGGTCCCTTACAGCTGGCATCTGATGCCAGAGTCAAGACGGGGAATTTGAGAATACAATTTTAAGTGCATAACAAACCATCCCAAAAGTACTATATTTGAGAGAAGCTGTTAAGAAACTTTAGCTTTGAAATGTGAAACTATTAAAATGTTATTTCACTGAAAAGCATTAGAAATGAAACCATAAACCTGTAGAATTCACCATTTTGCTGCTATTACATCTGTGGTATGAACAGTGCCCTTGAGTATAAAATCACCTAAAGTCACACATGGCACATTAAAAAAAACATCTACGGACAGCACAGAGGCTGAGCAGCCGTTCATGTGGGTGAGTGGCACCTTGTTCCAGCTTTACACAAAATGCTTAAACGAAGGAGGAATATCTAAATTCAGATTCTTGGTAAGCTTCTTAAAAATTGAAAAGTATAAGGAAGACAAAAGTACATAAATCCATGTGTTCCTGTGGTATGATACATAAATAATAAAGTGGTGGTGTAAAAATAAAATAAAAAGATGAGCCAGTTCTATAGAAGTAAAAGCTACTTATAAACTGCTATTGATACACACAATTTTTTTCAGTTCTATAATTTGCTTTTCATGAAAGTGCATGCCATATCAGTGTGTTTGTAATTTAAATATCTCCCTTAGAAGTTTTCCTCTCAGTAAAATAATTTGTGTTTTATTTTGGGGGCATTAATATAATCATTTTAGTGCAGAGTCCAAACACCCATGTAGATGGCTTGTGGAACTGGTTTCTGTTTCTGTAATCACATCTCCACAGACATCCAGCATCCTGTCAATGGCATTTGCATTTGTTTGGAATAAAATCAATTCACATTAAATTTCACTTTTACTTTATATATTCCCTCAAAACACAAAAGATCATAATTACAGTATACGTATTATATAGGGATAAAAATGTAAGTTGAAATAATTACCATTAAATTAGTTAAGATGAAATTTTCTTAGAAAAAAATTTTAGGGTTTCTCTTTTTTGTTTTTATTTTTGGTTGGTCTTTTTGAGGCAGGGTTGCCCTGTAGTCCCAGCTGACCTGGAACTCACTATGGAAACCAGAGATCCACCTGCCTCTGCCTCCCAAGTGTTGGTATTAAAGGCATGTACCATCACTCCCAGCTTAAAATTTTAGTATATTTCATTGTGCTCCAAATTATTTACTGAAAGTTAACAGTGACAGAAATATAATAAATTCTGTTAGCTTTCTGCATGGTAAAATAAAACTGCTGATAATTCAATTGAAATAAGACAGATCCTATTATGTCCCTCATAAACATCATGTACTAGCTTCTCACACTCTTCTACCCTCAACCCTACAAACTATCAATGTAATCCTCCACGCCATTAAAACCTTGAAGTAATATCAGCCTGGGTATTTCAACTCTCAAAGTTTCATTCATAAGAACAAAATTTTAATACGATACAGAAAAACACTGCTTTCAATATTCTTTGGAAATTCTTAATTTCCTATACGTTTATAAATACATATCATTTTATGATATATTTATAACATACAGAAGATGATATATATATATATATATGATAAAGTATCTATGCATAATTTCCTATGTATTGTATGGATGTGGCTTTACTAAGTCTAAATGCTGCTCAGAGGCAGATGAAGTGTCAGGTAACCAGACTCCTAAAGCAATCATATGGCTGACAGAATATTTTGATGAGCCAGTCAGTATGTGGTTACTTACTTACAGTGTTTCAGCAGCACTAAAGGGTCACTTGCTTCATGACTTTTAGTCTTAAGTTGTACTGCAAACTTGTTTACAGAGTCATTTGCCAATTGGAACAAGAACTGAAGACAGTAATAAACACACTGTGGCAAAGCACTTCATAGGCTTTGAGGAATGAAGCAATATAAAGTGCTATTAGCTACACAGCCATCTTCAAGACAAGCTTGGTAACTTGCAAGGTTCTTGCCAGGCAGCCATGGAATCCACCTACCTGCATCCAAGTTATGCAGTGCAGAACACAACGTCAACACACCCATGTCTTTTGTGCATGATGTGATCTCATCTCTGTGGTCCCACTTGGCTCCTTTCAACTTAGTGGGGTGATGGAACCCACCCAATAAAACTGCCTGCATGGACGGGGCTTGCCTTTCCCACCTGCACACCCTGCTCTGATGGCTCCTCTCAGATCTTCCTGGTCTGGGCTCTCACACAATTGGATCACCCAATCTGATTTTCAGTTAGTGGCTTCACAGACAGTTCCTATGGTTTCTGCATTTTAGATACGCTCATGAAAAGCAGGTGACATTTTTCAAAAGGTTGGAAATGAATAATCAATTGAAAAGGGGGGCTTGAAACTGACCTATGAAACTCTCCACAGTGCTGCAGGAGGAAGGGGTGGGGGTAAGCAAGTGCAGGTGTGGAAACAAAATCAAGCAACCCAAACAGCACCTTCCCAGGATCATGACATTTGAACTGGCCTAGTAACCAAGGGTCTGAAGTTGGTGGAGCTGGATGTGCCGAGTTCTGGCACTCACAGTGCAAAGCCAAGATTCTGCTCAGCTGAAGCCTCATGCTCTATCAGCAGGGGCTATCAGCCACAGATTCCAGAAAGATACTGAGCAACATGGACGTATTCCTCAAATAAGCCATTTATACTGAATAAATTAGTAATATTTTCCTATCCATTGACGAGCATGTTTAAACATGTTAAACACATGTTTAAACATACAACTTAACTTATAATTTGAAATTTCCTTCTATAACTTATGTAACTTTTAAGTGATATGTGTCCTTTTTGGCACTTTTATTGACTAAAGGCAGGCCATACATTAGGAATGATTTCCCCAGACTCCTCAGCCATATGAGTTGCCATAGGTCTGTATACTGGCATATTCTGAGGGGCACACCTGGAGCAGTTGGCGATTTCCATGCTGGGGCCCTCACACTGCCAGCCGCCACACTGTGGGGCCGGGCTGTCACAGGAACGGGACCGACAGAGGCAGGATCCCACAGCACTGCCATCCGTGTGCGTGCAGGGTGTCCACGGAGACCAGGGGCCGAAGTTCCCATCCACAGTGAGATTCCTGGTCTAGGAGGCAGATACAAGTAAGGGTGTCAGAAAGGGCAAAGCTGCAAAAAATGGAGTAAAAATGAAAGACCATTCAAGTGGCAATCACAGCCTTCAGGATATTTTAAAACTAAAATTGGTAAGGGATGTGTGGGGTTATTTCAAAGTAATACACCATAGGCCATTGCCAGAGATGGTGAGAAAGAGGGAGGAGGGAGGAAGAGGAGGAGGAGGAGGAGGAGAAAATGAGGTGCTGGGAAAACTGGACGAAGACAAGGAAGGAAGAGCGAGAAGAGGAGGCATCGCGGCTCATGACCCCAGAATGAGATTCTGGCAGAATTGGCCAGTGATGTGAGAAATCCAGGGTACAAGAAAACCTGGGTTGAAAACCCATAGACATACGTGGCTTGTACACTCCCAACCAAAACAACTGGCAAAACTCATCATTTAAACCTGGTATGGCTCAAACGTCACCTCGAAGTGGCTACATTGGATACACACTGAGCAAGCAAGTTCTTAGGCCTACTCTTGTCAAAGCTATGCTGTGAGTACCCACTAGGGGATTATACATGTCAGGATGGGCTTGGCATGTATTCATGACTGCAGGTAACATCCACTATGGGGCATGGAATGGCTCTGCTGCTGAAGATGAGACACTCAAGAAGATCATGGGGTCTTGAAGAATAAGATCCTGTGTTGAACCCTATAGGATGGAAGAGGAGCTGGGCGAAGCAGCTGGCTAGGACCCGTGGGGCTGAGTGAGGACAGAGGGATTGATATGTCAGAAGCTGAGGTTCACATGGCTGCTGCCTGTCACTGAGAGTTACTAGCAGGTGCTTTGCTATCATCAGGGACTAAAGGAGGTGTGCAAAGGATCACCACCATGAACATGACCCAGAGTGCATGGTGCTGGAGATATGTGCAGGTCGATGAAGGCATCATGGTGTTACACTGGCCTCACCTGGCCTGTGGCAGTTTGCTCTGGTGTGATTGGGGCATTAGTATTTGGACATCAAGGAGTGAACAGCTTGCTGACAAATCACAGGAGAGCTCAGGAGCTAGGAGTACTCTCAAGAGCAGAGACTCATGGACCCAAGGTTTAGGTTACCCTGCCCAATGTGTCTTCCCTCCTAAAGGAAGCAGGAAGGCCTAACGTCCCAGTCTCTTAATTTTAATATGAAGACAAAGGCGTCTTAGACAATTTGATGAAGATCTGATGAGAGTATGTTGTATCTTTCCTTTTTTCCTTCCCTGACTTCTGTCTCCGGCTTCAGGTAGTGACCCTTCTGAAGTACTGATTGTGTGAAATTCAACAGGTTAGAAAGGTTTTTTTTTAAAGAAAATACAAAATTAGAAGAAGTCGGGACTCCTTATGCAATTATTTACCCAGGGTAGCATAGACATCTTAGGTGGGTTGAGCTGTTCATGCCCAAGGCCCAATGGTGTCAGTCTAAGGCAGTCACGATGTAGTGGTTTTGTAATAAATGTTCCCAAAGACTCATGTATTCAAAGCTTGGTTCCCAGAGGGTGGTACTATAGAGAAATGAATGGACCATGAGGGCAATACCATTATTAATAGATTACTACATTGAGTTTCCCATTAAATGGGATCTGAGGGGGTGGGGCCTATTTGGAGGAAGTGGGTCACTGGAGTGCCTTTGAAAGGCACACTTTGTCTCACACCCCTGTCCTCTCTGCTTCCTGACTTCCATAAGGTGAGAAGCTCTGTAATATGCTCTCTGTCATGATGTTTAGCTTGGCCTCAGGCTCAGAATCAATGGAGTCAAGAGATCATGGATGAAACCCCCCGAAACCAGGAGACACAGTACACACTTTTCAAGTTGGCTTTCACAGTTATCTTGTCACAGCAGTGACATAGATGGAAACCTTATTACTTTGGTCAGTGCTGGATCTCGAGATGGATTTATGGCTCAATGCTGGTGAATGCCTCAACAGGGGACTTCAAGAAACTCCTAGAAATTATTTCCTCTAGCTAAGAGGAGAAAAGTGTTTCTGCTTTTTCTAATCTCTCTGGTTTTGTACCCTGGCACGTGAGGGGTACTATACCATGACAGCCACCGTTTATCACATCCTAAAACGTCCCCAGGTATAGCTAGGTGTCCCTGGCAACTATCCTCCCATGCTCTCTACTGAGACCTACTGCACTGATTGTTCTTTGTTCCTTTGGAACATATCCTTGAAATAGAGGATTTTAGACAAAGAGATACTATAAATATTTTCCTTCTAAATATAGTCATAGGGAAATATGTGCTAATAAGAGTGGCACAGAAAAAGGGAGGCAGGATGTGATGTAACTGACAATGGGTAAAGACCAACGAGGCAGATGAAACACAACAGTAATTTTCCTTCAATGGGAAGAAAAGCCACTGCACCCGGCACACCGTATGTGGGAACACAGTGATGGCAGCTTTGCAAGGTGACAGTGTAGATTTGGCAACTATACTTCTGGAAGGAAGAAAGGTGGCTCTGCTTCTGGAACCTGCAGATTTTCAGGAGCAGCATCTTCAAGGCAGGGCTGTTGGGATTTGCTATCTTACACCCTGGAACTCCCAGTCTCAAGGGAGAGCAGAGGATGAGTCCTCCACATAGCATTTAGCCCTGTGCTTGTTTTACTCTGAATATCTGACTTTAAGAACCTGCCTAGAAAACAGGAGTAGGAATAATGGTGGGGCTTAATTTTGAAAGGAAGATATTTTTACATTTTCATAATCTTCTTTAAAGAAATCTATAGGGCCTGGCAGTGTGGTAGAGTACTTGCCTGGCATGTACAAGGCCTGAGTCCCATCGCCAGCACCAAGGAAATGAAAGGAGACAGAGCCGTCTACAATAATTTCCCCAGAGCTGAGCTTTCTTCCAGGTCTCTGCCAAGTGACTATGCTTGGAGTGTATGCTTCATGCCATTAAATATGAAGTTATAGCACAACATGGACCATGCATCAGCAGTACATGCCAACCACAGGTGATTAAGAGTGTCAACTCTTTCAATCCTCACCACATCCCAAGTCAGCTGGGACAAGTAAACTGTCTGTAAAAGACAGAATCAATCCCAACAAGTTGGTTCAGGAACCTGTGATCTCAGCTGGTCCTTCTGTAATATGATTCTTTGTATCTTTTTCAGGCAAGAGTCCCCCAAGAGACAGATTGGTCACTTTCCAAGTGCAAGCTAAGGAGTAGCCATTTTAGATATAAAGTATAATCTCCTTATGATTGATTCATTCATAAACTCTCAAACAGGCAGGGGTGTAAAAGCACTTACTGATTCCTCCTGTGCTCCAACCATTATTCCTTTTAAAAGAATTATTATTACTATTATTTATGTGTGTGTGAGTGTGTCTGTGGGTAATGTCACGTGTGTGTGTGTTTGTGTGTGTGTGTGTCAGCAGAAGCCAAAATAGAATGTCAGATCCCTTGGAGCTAGAGTTATGGGATGTTGTGATTCACCCAGTGTGGGTGCTGGGAACCAACTTTGGGTCCTCTGAAAGAGCAGCAAGCACTCTTATTTGTTGAGCTCCAGCCCCTCCAATCACTATTCTTTTATGGTTAAAGTGAAGTCTTAAGTTTTTATCTGTCTACATATTTTTTCCTTCAGAATCACTAGATTTTTATTTTCAAAGTTGTTTTATACTTACTTCCAGAGACTGCATGAAACAGGATATTGGAAAAAGTTCTCAGGGAGACTTGCCTCCTGCTTTGACATCAATTTAATTATCTACCCTAAGCTTATCTCTATAAAGGAATTATAAGAAAAGATTGTACCTTTGAAGAGAACTTAGCTGGAGTCCTGTGTGGAAGTTAGGAGGACTGGTGAATAGGAGTGATCTTTAGGCAAGGTCTCTGAGTCCCAGTTCTTTCATCGATAAAAAGGAGCAATAATGCCCATCCTGGATGGCATTGTGGACATTAAATGAAATAACTCATAGAAAGTATCTAATGTGATAGTGAACATATGGGCTATACATAGTTCACCCCTCCTTGATACCCTCTTTCTCTCAAAACAGTTTTATTGCAAAATGCAGAAATAATGTCTTCTCTGCTCTCTGAACATAAGGTGCAGGATTGGGCCATTCTTCCTTTATCAGTCACCACTTTGAAGAGATACTGAAAAGTGGGAATGTCATTTTCCTCCAAATTAGAGCCTGCTAGAAACTCTAGATATAAACTGGCTTCTCACCCAATGGTTATGGACACTTGGGGAACATATTAGTCTCTGATCTCAGGTGTCACCATCTAAATGTGGGCTAGGGTTTTGGTTACTGCCGAAGCATCTCTCATCTAAAGATCCTAATTACAGTGTCCTGAGAAGTGCCATTACCAGGAGACAGTGGGATGTTCATTTGGTCCATTTATTTTGCTGGTTATTACATTACATATTTTGAAACAAGGACTCACTGTATTGTATAACATGATATATTGGTTACTGCATATTCCCAAAGCATATGAACGGCATTCATGCATAAGTCAGGCCAGTTAGATTCTTCACACTATGTGACCCTTGTTTTACAACATAAGTCAGGCAAAATATATATAGTTCACATTGGTCTGAATATACCAATTTAGATATCACACAAGTGTCTTAAATCCTTTAAGCTGCTTTTTGATTATGATGTTGGTAAACTATTATTCAATATTACAGACTAGAAATCTGTAGCTATTTTAAAATCAGGTCCATTTAGTGGAAAATAGGTCTTTAAGATTTTAAATCCCTGGAAAAGTGGACTGGGAGGGGTCAACGTCAACTCTAGGGGAACAGAGGATCTAAACCACAGCTGTGGTTTGAAGTACCTCTTCCAAAATTCAAGTATTTCCTAAGTGATAGCACTAAGAGGTGGGCTGTGAAGATGTGAGCAGGCCAGGAGGTTCCCCCCTGGTGGATGGGGTTGGATGTTCTCTTAGAGGTCTCCCAGTGGGACCTGGGGTATTCTTGTTCTAGCACAAGAAATCTTCATCGGAGCACATTCTGGTGCTTTGACCATGGGCTTTCTAGTCTCCAGAACTGTAAGCAATAAATTTCTGTACTTTATAAATGATTCAGTATAAAGTGTTCTTTTATATCATCACAAACAGAGTAAAACAGTTACAAATCATAGCCACTGTGTGACTAGAACACCCATGTTGGGGAACAGACTAGTGCCATGTCATTGGTACAGCTATTTTTCTTTTATTTATTATTTTAATTTTATGTGTAGGAGTGTATTGCCTGCATGTATGTAAGTGCACACATGTTGTGCAATGCCCGTGGAGGTCAGAAGAGGGCTTCGGGTCCCCTGGAACTACAGTTATGGATGATTGTTAGCCACTATGTGGGTGCTGAAAATCGAACCCGGGTCCTCTGCTCTTAACCACTGAGCCATCTCTCCAGCCCTTTTTGCTTCTCTCTCTCTCTCTCTCTCTCTCTCTCTCTCTCTCTCTCTCTCCCCCCTCTCTCTTTGGTCTGGCTCCCAAGTTTTAGTTTTTTGTTTTGTTTTGTTTTATTTTTAAGAGTCTAGAAGATAGGGTTGGATACCCTGGAGCTGGAGGTCCAGGTGGTTGTACACCCTCTGATGCCAGTGCTGGGAACTGAACTCCAGCTCTCTATAGGAGCAATAGATGCTTGTAAACACTGAATCATCGCTCGAGCCCATGACCCAGAGTTTTGAAGATTTACTTCATTGATAAGTTCACACCAGAGGGTCTGGTGCTGACATACCAAATGAACATGTCTCAGATTCACTGAACTCGGTGTCACAGGATCAACTTTAACTTGTATTTTACATAGAATGGAAAATAACTGTTCTCCTTCAAAAGGCCTCAGGTTATAAAATTCAATTTCCTTTGGGTAAAGATGCATGCACGTATTTTTCAGAAGGAAAGGAAAACATTAAGTGATAGCAGAATCGCTTGCATTGAATATGTCTGAAACCAGTTGGCATGTGGCAATTCGTGCCACACTGAAACATATAAGTACTGGAGATAAGTCCAGTGTGAAGGAGAACATGGGTTTGGTCTTCAGTATGGAAAATACAATCAAAGGAACTGCACAGAATGATGGCAACATCCTCAACATATAAAGCAGCAGCATGCTAGCATGTCACAATTATGAAACATGGTGCCACAGCCTTGGCCAATGAATGAAGCTTCCATCACAGTAAAAAAATAAATAAGTGACTTTCTTTGTCTTTTTGAGGCAGGGTCTCTCTGTAGCCCCAGCTGGCCTGGAACTGGCTATGAGACCAAGCTGGTCTCAGACTCACAGAGATTTGCCTGCCTCTGTCTCCTAAGCGTTGGGATTAAAGGCGTGTGCCACTATGCCCGGCTCAGAAGCAAGTAATATTTAAAAATAAATTTTAGCAAACCAAAGCTAAGGGCTGGAGAATTGGCTCAGCAGTTAAGAGTACTAGTTGCTCTTGCAGGGGACCTGGGTTCAGTTCCTAGCATCCACATGGTAGCTAAGAACCTTCTGTAACTCCAGTTCCAGGCATTCTGATGCCCTCTTCTGACCTCCACAGGCATTGCACAACATGGGTGCATTTGCACACATGCACATAAGACACTCATAAAATAAAAATACTAATATTAAAAACCCAAGTTAAAATTATTGCTGTCATTTTATATATTCTTAGCTTATCAAAAGTATATCTTAATGTGGGAAAATCCATTGGGTCGGAGGATAGTGGCATGGTTTTATATAATGGAAACATCTTGTGTCTGGAGAATAAGTCTTTACTGTAAGTATATAACTAAGCAGAGTTAGTGGTCACATCTCAGAGTTGTGTTCTAAGTACCACAGAGCCAATTCCATGTTACTTTGTGAATTTAACAGAGACTGTCCTCTCATTAGATTGAGACAATGTGTGTGACAACACTTTGGTCACATTTTCACTGTAGACTATCCAAGACATTCATCTGCTATACTGCAGTGCATAGGGGTGAATTTCCTATTGTATAATTATCATGGTTCAGATATTCACTTAAACTGTCATGGGTCCAGGAGAATGGACTTATTGTTTACGAGAAACTGCACTTTTAGCTCATTCTGACTTTTTGTTTTATAAGCGTTAGTGATGCAAGGTTAAAGATCTTCAGGAAGATGCACTAATTGTTCCAGAGGACCTTCTGTATTTCAGAATGACTTTGCCAACATTATTATGTTTTTATCTTCTGCAAAGCATTTACGGTGACTGCCTTTGTGTTCTGAATGTTAGTATTAAGAAGGGAATTACCAAATGCCCTAGTATTTGTCTAACCATTTTGAGAGAGATGGAAGAAAGTTTCCTTCTAAAATCAAAGGCCTGGAAGTACATACCCAATAGTGCTAAGCTAACCCCACTCAGGAGTGTTTATAGCCTGGATGTGATGCTCCCATGCAGGCTTCAGTGCATGAAGGACAGACTTCCACAGCAACATCTGGTAAGGACGCTGATCCCTCTAGCTTTGCTCTGATCAGTTTTTTTCTGGATGAAGGACAGGCTTCATGAGCACGTGGTTTAGGTCATGAAAGGGCAGCTTCCTTACCAGGATTCTCAGAACTGAACGATCAGCTCCTCACTCCCGTCTAAGAGGTACATGAAACTGAAATGCAGAAATCCACAGCTGTGGATGTGAATTATGTGAATGTAAATAATTACCAATTACTACTGTTGTTACTGCATGGAGAATTCTAAAGGGAGAAGAGAGGAAAAGTGGCTCCCACACGTGAGGAGGACCCAAACAGATGAACTGAGGAAACCGGATTCAGGGTCTGGCTCTACATCCAGACCAGTTTCTCATTCTCAGAGTCTGTCATGGGAATGCTCACCAGGCTGCTTCTCCCAGGCCTTCTTGTGACCCTGAGCAAGGTCTGTGAGTCTGCTCCACATGGGGTCACAGTGTGATCCCTTAACTTACTCTTTAAATCTTTACTTATGTCAGCTTCTGTAATTGTAGCCCCCAAGAGAAATGAACACATGTGGAAGGTCCCATTTTTATTACTACAACAGGGAAAATGTATCCACACCACACTATAAAGAAAACATTTCAAGAATCACTATCTTATGCTCTGTAATCGAGCCAGCACTGTTGAACTTAAGACCTTTCAAATCAATGAAAACACAGCAGTAGCATCCCGTGTGGCCCTCCCGAAAGCTAGGAGCAGCGCAAGTTGAGAAAACACAAATTTGTTTTTGATTTGTAACAATGTTCCAACCTGGAAAGGCAGTGCATGCAGGTCTGGGCTCCCATGGACAGGATTTTTGGAAGAAAGTCGGGGTGAGCACATACCGGACAGGTGGAGATGCTCTGCTCCCACTGTGTCATGCTGAGACTCTCCTCCAGGCTTGTGCACTTCTTCATCACCACGTCCCAGCCACAGTAAGGGTCCTGGGCCCCAATGCAGGTGCTGGAAATGCACATGAAAACAGTGCATATGCATATCTTTTTCTATAGGAAAGCACCAACAGGAAGTTTCTGGAAATCTGGACATCCTTCAAGAGTGGCCTATAACACAGACCTATGTGAGGTAGGGACTCCGGGCAGACCTGAAAGACCTCTGCTTCCTGCTTTGCCTTCTCTGGCTGTGTCAGTGTGGCTCCAACTGAGGGTGACCCAGTGTTGAACCAGCTCAAAGCAACACATTTATGTCTGCAGTCCCTAAGGTAAGGCCAGGGAGTCATTGGTCACAGATAGCATGACAGGACACAGCACACACCTCACCTTGGGATTTGGTCTGTGTGTGATCCGTACGGTATGAGAGCAAACTGTGCTTAGAGATCCATTCAAAGGCTTTGCTTCCTTCTTGTGATTCTTACTAAAGCAAGATGACCATTAGGTAAAATTAAACTTCCAAAAGGAGAATCATTTGACAAGCTCCCTCCTCTGCTCCTGGCCTCCCCTGCCTGCAGAGCCACCTGGAGCCTCAAACAAGGCCCCTGTGTTAAGGGAAGCATTGGGGCCATTTTAACATGAAACTGCGCTCATAACAACAGTTCCGTTTTTCTAATAATGTTGATGGTTCTGGTTGTTTTTAACATTCCACTTACTCATTAAACGTTACAACTGCCATCCAAACACAAATGCCCATTCAATAGAAATACCACACGTAATTTCCTCTTGTAAAATCTTATCTACCATTGGCGAAAATCTGATGCACACTTACATTTGCTCTAAACTACACTTTATGAAAAACCAATCATTACAACTTATTATTTTTGGAAGTTGAGTCTTTATAAAGAGGTCATATGGAAAATCAGGAGATTCCAGTTGATGTAGCTGTGGTGAAATTGACTTTTCTTTATTTCACATGAAAATATTTTTCCTTATGTGATGAATATTTTACTAAAATTTAGCTTTATTAAATTCCAATTGCATATATATGACACAGAATTAGCTTGTGTGCCACAAATACATGCAATTATAAATCGTTAATATTCAATGAAAATTTCCTTCATTTATTAATAGCCTAATGCTACCATCATTTTGATTATTGATCTGGCATTTCTGAATATCTGAACTCAGAGAACAATGTTCATCATAATCCAAAGGTCTCATTTAGAAAGCATACAAGTTGAGGGGGACAATGTTTTAGAATGAAATATATGTAGAGATAGATCTTAAATTCTAGATTATTTTTTATTTAATATACAAAATTGTATTGATATATAATATTGTACTGCTTTAATATAGGTATGCATTGTGTAATTTTTAAATTAAAATAAAATTTAAAAACTTTAAATCAGTTTAAACACATCTATCTCATTCCAAATTTCTTATCATTTGTTTATGGTGAAAACTTGCAAACTTCTTTCTTCTACCTTTTTGAAATCTGAAGTTCATTACCGGCACCAGCTTTGCTGTGTAATAAAACGTATGTTAGAAACCCATGGTCATATCTGACTGCACTTGTTAGCTACTGGCCAACTTTTCCTGCCCTTCTTCTCTCTGTCTTCCCCAGCCTCTGCTAACCACTGTTTTACTCTCAATCCCCAGGAAATCCACTTCGCTAGAGCCCAGAATTGAACAATATCATGCGGTTCTTGCCTTTCTATGCCTGGTTTATTTCACTTAGAATAATGGTCCTAATTCATTAGCATTCTCACAAATACTAGGAGTTTGTCCTTTGACTATGACGAACAGCAACGCCATTGCATTCATCTGTAACACCTCTTTATCCATTTGTCACTGGTGGGTACCAGGGGAGCTTGGATTTTTTGGTCATCGTGAATAATGCTACAATGAATCTGGGATTACAGATACCCCTTCAACATTTTTTTCCCTTTGGTATGAAACCCAGTAGTGAGATGATTGTATCTGTTTTATTTCTGAGTAATCTCTATATTGTTCTCTACAACGGCTGTACTAATTTATGCTCCCATCAAAGTATGCAAGGTTCTCTCCATCTCCTCATCAGCACTTGTTATGATCAGTCCTTTTTCTCTTACCTCTGTCTTTCTTTTCCTTTGAGAGATGGGGTCTCCCTGTAGTCCCAGCTGGCCTGGAATTCACTATGTAGACCAGGCCGGCCTCAATCTCACAAAGATCCACCTGCCTCTGCCTCCAGAGTGCTGGAATTAAAGCTGTGTCTTTTACAATTATTAAAATAATCAGCTTTATGATTATTGTTTTTGACAACAGCCATTTTGACCAGGGTGAGTTCTTTTCTCATAGTGGTTTTGATTTGCATTTTCCTTGGGATTCTGATGTTGGACACTTTTCATGTAGCCTTTGAGCATTTGTATGCCTTCTTTTGAACCATTTCTATTTATGTCTTTTGTTCATTTCTCAATTAAAATTTCTGTTGTTGAGTTTTTGGATTTCAGGAATGACTTAACATCAACTAACATTGAGATGTATATTAAAACTTTTTTAGTTATCCTCTTTATTAATTAACATACTAAGATAAAAGACTTTCATTAACATTTTTATACTATTTCTGTAAAGTTGGATTTGGTTGAATGTCAATGTGCATATTTGATTCCCTAAGTACTGATGGCCTTATTTGATGTTTCTATCATAACAACTGTCATATTGCTTTATTACTTTTTCTCTGTTGAACTGTTTTGAAGCAAAGTCTCAGGTAGCTGAGGCTGGCCCCAAACTTGCTATAGAGACAAGGGTGACCTTGAACTTCCTATGCTTCTGACACTACCTCCCAACAGTTGAGATTATAGGCACATGCAACCACATCTAGTTTATTATTGATATTGATAATGGCTGCAATATTAACACAAGGAATTCATTTAAATTCCCAATTCTATAAGTGTTTCAAACATCCCTTCATTCAGCACACAGTCATGAGTATTTACCATAAAGCAGATGCTGAAAGTGTGGAGTGTTCCAGGGAAACAAAATAGCGACAGAGATAGAAATGTGCTTCTTAATAAGGAGATGAAATTCAGATGACACATGAATAAATATCAGCTTCCAGTTGCAAAGGAAAATTGTAAAGGACCTAAGAATCTGGGACCCTCTGCATAGCTGGATGAGTCTGAAGAGTTACTATCTACACTGTCACATTTAAACTAGGAGCAGTGAAACAGAGGGAAGTCTGATGTGTTTGTTACATGTCAGAAAGAACAAAACGTTTCAGCAGAGACCTTCCTGGGAGGTTCCCAGTCAATGAGATACCAGAGTCTGAGGAACTATGAACTGGAGATTGGCCCTCAAAGCCTGAGGACTGAAACAGGAAGAACATTTGAGCCCCATTAAGGCCTAGAATTACCCTGTAAATGATGCACACTTCAAAAGGCATAGTGGATACTGTGCAGAAAACACCCTTCTCTGACAGTTTTGAGCTTTTATTTATCCAGACAAAAAGATGTCAGGTGCATGGAACAGAATCTGTCATGAAGAGAATATAGTATGTCACAGAGAACTTGAAGTTGTGTAAAAGCAAACTACTGATGGTCAATTTTTCTTCAGTTTGGTTCAGATTGCCTCACCTCGCCTCGCCTCGCCTCGCCTTATCATCTTATCTTATCTTATCTTATCTTATCTTATCTTATCTTATCTTATCTTATCTTACCTTATCTTATCTATCTGACCGGTTATCCATAGGTAGCCCAGGCCGTCCTTCCATGGGAAATCCTCATGCCTCAGTCTCCTGAGTCCTGTGGTTGAAGGCATGCATTCCTATGCCCAAATACTGTGTTTGATTTTTGATTTGCATGTAGGACAGAGCGAGATTTTGAACCTCCCAACTTTCAACAGAATATGTAGAGAATACAGAGATCACTCACAGGCAATGACAGCTCAGAAAGACCAGGATATGAGCTGAAACAATGCTAAGGAAAACTTAGAGCCCAGAGCAATCAATTCGACTTATGGGATCTTTATAGTGTACTTGATTGCCCTTATGAACTTATTCTTCCATTGTGAAAATATGATTTCATTAAAATATTTCACAAATGAGGGGGAAACTCTTGTCATCCACAGGTATGGCTGGGGAGCTGGGCATTATAGAAGATGGACAGACCACAGCACATCTGTATGATGGTGCGCACATTTTTTATTATGTACCTGGATATGTATTTATGTTCATATAATCGCCAGGGGGAGATTTACTATGAAATGGAGGTTCACTCATGGGATCCATTGGATCCTAAGGATTTTATGTGTATAATCTGAGACCCTCATAAAGTAGATATGTTTTCAGACCTTACCTATATCAGTCCTGTGCTTCCTCCTAATCACACAATGCACACTTCTCAACTCACTATCAGAGTTTATGCAAGCCCATGTTCTATGTACCATCATATTTTAAGGGGTTTCTCCCTGTGCCGGATAGCTTTAGTGTCACACCTGGGTTGAGAGAACCTCAATTGGGGAATTTCCTTTATCAGACTGACCTGTGGCCATGTCCACTGACCTGTGGCTGCAAGATCAGCTGTAAGTAACAAGAGACCAGCATCACTGTGGTGAAGTCTCCTGGGAGGTATTTCCTCAGGGTCAGCACACAGAGGGGACCCGAACCTCCATCTCTAGCTGGAAGCAGGACTTGGTAATGTGTAAGAGTCTCCTGCATGGTTCTGGTGTTGAAAGCTTGAAGGGGTCACAGAGAGCAGCTGAGGCTTGGCACTCTGAGAGGCCAGGAAAGGCCATAGGTGAAAGTGCAGCTGCAGTTGCAGTGAAGACCCCAGGATTGAAGGGGTCATGGAGAGAATCTGAGGCTTTGCACTCGGAAAGGCAAGAAGAAGCCATTGGTGAAGGTGCAGCCTCAGTTTCATTGGAGACCCCAGCTTTTTTGGAGATGACAAGACCATGTGACGGCCACCAAGGACAGCACCTGGTGTAGAATAGAGCTGGCCCGGGGCTGCAAGATGAGCTGTGTGTGCTGTGGACGGCAGAGTCAGAGCAGTGGAGCTGTCAGAACCCTTTGGAGCCCTGAAGATCGTGAGTGAATCC